GATGCAATAAAGCCACAATCCGGCAACTGGATCTGTGGGTAGACCTATGTAAATTTATGAAGATCTACACGGCCTCAAGGATCTATCTACCTGGAAGATCTGATTGCAGGATCAGAGTTTATCATTAACAAATGTTAAATGTTTTCTCTCTGATGTATTATCTGGGTCTGTAGGTTCTCCTATACCACCTGGATATTTTTACACATAACTAGCTCTGATTAAATATAGGATCCATGCAGAATCTTTTTTCTCTTTTTAATGTAAAGCAACCCTGTGAATTTAAATTGTATAACATACCTGGCTGCTGCCTCTTTCTTCCCATCTTCTAGTGTCCTCCAATGAATGTGATCTCCAAAACCTGGAAAAGGGAAAGGTTTATAAAAGTAGCATAATTTAAAATGTCAAATGACAGATAAATATATTTTCTGACATTTAAGGACACCATCAACTAGTTTTATTTCCCTTCTTTTAGCAAGCATTTTTTTATATGTAACCATTTGTTTTCAATATTCATACTCACTATCACTTGAATCTCTGTTCTTGGATAATAAACTTACTCTTGTTTTCAATATACATATATCTAAGTGCTGTGTGTTCAGCAGAGCTGTGTTCTAAGGTATAACTAATAACAGGGCCGGCTCTACTGTTTTTGCCACCCCAAGCAGCTCGCCGAATTGCCGCCGCGGACAGTGGGGGCAGTCTGTGTGCCTTCAGGGCAGCTCGCGTGTTTCCACGGCGGCGGCAATTCGGCAGCAGCTTCTGTCTTCATCTGGAAGACAGAAGCTGCCAAATTGATGCCACAGGCAGCTGAACATAGAAGCTACCGCCAAATTGCCGCCGCCGCGGAAACGTGCGTACCGCCCTAACGGCACACAGACTGCCCCCGCCGTCCGCGGCGGCAATTCGGCACGCTGCTTAGGGTGGCAAAAACACACGGACTGCCGCCCCTTGCAGATTGCCGCCCCAAGCACCTGCTTGAAATGCTGGTGCCTGGAGCCGGCCCTAACTAGTAAGCTGTGGGGTACTGTTCCTTTGGAAACAGCAGGCCTAGTAATTCTAAGTGTTCAGTGAATAAGCAGCTGGACCTTACAGAGAGCGTTCAGAGGACTTGGGAGATGGGTGTGCCTATTGCTAATCTGCAGAGAGAAAGCAAGGACTGCAGAGCCCTGGAGGGGAGCACTGCCAGAGGCTGGGGTAGTCAGGGAGCTGACACACAGCAGCACAGGCAAGATTTCTTCATACTAAGGACGAGCGATAGCAAGGTGCCTCACACCCCTGGATATGCCCAGGAATCATCAAATTTCATCTGTGAATATTGGATTTTTGGGTAAAGTTAATTTTCATAATCCTCTTTCATAATATGCAATGTCTACGAAGATTGGGGGAAATTCCAATATTAATACCTTATAGTCAATTATTAAAGAACATGGGGGCTCAGTTCTGCATGCCCTAACTCATACAAGTAGTCCTACCAATTCTGTAATTAGCAGACATGCAATCCAAGCTGTGTATCCTGAACTGAAGACAAGGAGAGGATGCAGAATGGCACCAAGATCTGCTATCTGATGGTAGAGCTGGCAACTATCAGCATTATCCATCGAATAAGATAGCAGGATTGTCTCTCTGTCACTCTGAAGATTAGAATGTCTGTTGAGTCAGTGTGAAGTGATGGAAACAGCTACAAACAGAGCTGAGAGCTCTTTTTGTATAGAATACCACCAAGTTCAATCACCACTGGGATTCGCAGCCTGTTACTGTCCAATGTTTAAGTTCTCAGACTTTTTTTTTTGCTTTTTTCACACATTACGAATTACACCCATACAACAGCACAGCTGTCACCTATCACTATGCTATTTTTCTATTTAGAGTTAAACAATACATAAGTGTGCCTATCCAGGCCTACGGGCATCTTTGCCATATATTAAAAATATAACCATACTGGTACAATATATTTCTGTATGGGACCAAATTCTATTATTGTCTGTTAATGTCCCTTTTCTGCAAAAGTATTTGTGTGTGTTTTACTTTAAGTACATGCTTAAGTCTAGTTCAATGTGACTTAAGTATATGCTTTCTTAAGCATTTTGCTGAATCAGGCTGTAAATAGGCAGCAGAAGTCTCTGATGTCAATGGGGACAAGACTGGGGCTACGGTGTACATTTAGCTCAAGGGAACCTTACATAAAATATGCAGGGGGATGAGGAAGAGCATTATTTCTTGTAATCAAGGATATTTAAATACACATTAGATCACATTTCTTTCTAGTAAGCAAGGATGACTACATTCATTAACAATAAAATCATCACAGTCTTCCCTCCCTCCCATGACCTGATTAATATTAATAGTTTTATTAGCAAAAAAATTAAGAAGAACCTTTCCATGGTGAATGGAATTCTGTTACTAACAAAATGCAACACTCAACAGCTTATGAAATAACCTTATTTTTAAAAATAGAGACCCGTGGAGTTTAAACTATCAAAAAAGATAACTAGTAATACTAAAGACACTTCTTCCCTGTCACTGAAGAACATAGTCAAGAACATTGATGCACTGACTGAACCTGCTCCTCACATTCCAGACTTCAGAACAAAGATAGGGAAGTAAAATAAGGTGGACTGAACAGAGCTGGGGAAAGATAAATCCAAATCATGGTACAGTACAGGATGGTCTAACAACTACAGGTTTATTAAGAAAAGCTGAAATCAGTAAATAACGTAAAAAGCAAGATAATATGGCTAGAAGGGATTGAGTCAGAACAAGTGACAAGAGAAGGATTGTAGTGGAAGTACCGTTTACTGGAATTTCAACAGTAGTGAGAGATTAAAACTATAGGATAAAACATAAAATATCCACTTGATCACCTATTTACTAGCCATACCCCAATGTGCTTATGTTGCATAGTTGTAGGGATGTCAAAATGGGACAATCTGAAGGGGAAATAAAAAAATTAATTGAGATTTCATTGAAAGACCCTTTACAAAATCCTTCAACACCAAAGAAATTTTAAAAACTGCCTTAAAACTAACTCAGAATGAACAAATCTTCTAAATGAATGAGACTTGGCAGGTCTGCTACAACCAGCAATTGACAGTTTTGAAAAAAAAATAAACCTGCCAAGCCCCCTCTTCTCCACTCCCACAACATTAACGTATTTTCTACTGTATCAGGGCTGCATTGCAATTGCTCATAATCAATTTATGGCCTGGCACCATAATATCTTGTATGTTTCAACCTCAGTTCTGCCACTAAAGCGATTACTCCTTACCCCCCCCCCACCGATGAAACTTACCTAAATAATCAAAATTACTATTTGAATGCATTATTGCAAATATTAAATACAGTTCTGGGCTGAGGGGAAGGGACCCTCCTGATTAGGGATTTATTTACTTATTTATAGCAATCATAAAAGTTTAAATACAAACAAAAAGAAAAGAGATGCCTAACCCTTTCCAAGCCCTTCTCCAGCAGAGGATGTGATAAGCACCAGGAAAATCAGGCAAAAAAAGAGATTGGAGAGTGCTGCTGCTAATTGAATCTTCATGGTGTCTGCTTGGAACCTCGGCAGCACAATGAATGCTTCTCGATGGCCACAGTCAGCAAGATCAGATCAGATCAGGGTTGGGGGGGGGGGGTGTTAACCCAGGAAGTGATGTTGGGCGGATGTGGGTGGCGCTTCAGAGTCCTGTATCAGGTTAAAAGGAACAGATCCCCCAAAATCTGAATGAGAGAATTGGCAAAATTATTTCTGATCTATAGTTACAGCTCTGCATATTTGTTTCCAAACTGGCCACTTTCCGACAAGAGATTTTGCCGGGGGGAGGGACATTTAAATAGTAATTTAATCTAGATTTGAAAGGGGGGGGGCTCATCCAATTCACACATGCCAACTAGTTCTGCCGCCAGCCCCTCATGAGTAGTAATATTGCTCAAGTCCAGATTTGGGCTAAAGCTGTGATTGTTACCAGAATGATTTAATGTTTAACTAACCCAGTCTACATATGTCTTGTAGGATTGTCAGAGAGTTGGTCGAAATTGATTGGTTGCTCTTCAGCACCTGCCAGCGAGGGGTGGATTTCAGTGTTATTTTATTCTGTACAAAAAAAAGTGGACCGTATATATCACTGTGCTCAAAGTGGAACAATCTTCGGGGTTCGGTACATTAATGCGTAGCTGTCTGCAAACTGAGAAAGTAAAAACTGGATTATCGCAGATCTTGATTTCTATGTTTTACAAATTGGAATCTGTGGGATTTTCCAAGAGCGATTGCATTTAAAAAACCTGCTTCTTAAAGTCTGCCTTACTGTACAAATCCTGACCAGCCAGCCTCTAAAACCTGGAATCCTGAGGACTACCCCAACTAGGGTGACCAGATGTCACGATTTTATAGGGACAGTCCCAATATTTGGCACTTTGTCTTACATAGACACCTATTACCCCCCACCCCCGTCCTGATTTTTCACACTTGCTATCCGGTCACCCTAACCCCAACATGCTGCTAACTCCGGTCAATTGGCGACTGGAATCTTCTTGGGACACACTACACCGGTTTGTGAACCCTGATCTCACTGGTACTGTCCCATTTTGCAAACACCACGGCTTTTGTTTTTTGCAAAAAAAAACCCCAAACCAAACAAACCCAGCCCCTAAGAGAAAGCCATTTCCTTGACTACTGCACCGCAGAAATAGACCAATACCCTCCTCCACCCTATATGGTCCGTAAGAGAATACAGTACATGGGACTAAGGCAGAGCCCAGCAACAAGCTCCACCCCCGTCTCCCTCTACAGAGACTACAGCTCCCAGAATGCACTACCTCGACCTGGTTCTAGAATCCTTGTACGTGCATTGCATGCTGGGACTTGTAGTTTCCCCCTGCAGAGTGGGTGCGCGAAGCGAAAGGGAAGAAGAGGGCGCTACCTACAACTTTCCATGTTATGCAAATAACTCGGTGTCCCTTCCAATCGGAGGTGAGTGGGCGGGGCCCAGGGTCCCGTGGTCCGCGGCCGCCTTTCTCTGTGCCCCTCTCGTCTCCTTCCCTGCCTGGCGTGGCCGCCATCTTGTTCTCGCCGCGTGTTGGCTGCGGAGGGGCTGCCGGACTCAGGTGAGAACTTTCTATTTCCTCCCGTCCTCCACCTTTTCTCCATCCCCCCGTCCCCGCACCGGACCCTCCCATCCCCCCCTTCTCTCTGCGGCGCGGCGCGGCCCGGCTCGCACGGGGGGGGGCGGAGCAGTCGGTGCCGTGAGGGGCATGGGCCTGCCCGCTGCCTGAAGGGAGCTCGGCTTGTTCTGCGGAGCCTTTCCCCCTCCCCTCAGGGCTGGTCATGGGGGGCGCCCCAGGGGCAGGGACCTTCCCCTCCCTTAGAGCTGGATGTGGGAGAGGGGGTCTTCTCCCCGACCGTAGACCCCATCGGCGCCAGGGTTGACTATGGGGAGGGCCGCCTCCTTTCCAAGGCATGGACCCACTGGATATTGTGTGGGGAGGGGGTGCTGCTCCCCTTGGCTATAATCACTTCCCATCTTCTCAGGGCTGGATTGTGTGGGGTGGGGGTGCTGCTCCCCTTGGCTATAATCACTTCCCATCTCCTCAGGGCTGGATTTTGTCCCCTTCTCCTTTTCAGGGGCACACACCCCTTCCCTCCAGGCCTCTGGGGCAGTTAATATTGTGGGGATCTCTTCTGCACCCCCCTCCCACTGAAAATGATTGGGAATTCCCTCCTGTAGAAAACGAACATCTTTCTCCCACCTTCTTTTCTAGGGCTGGATTTTGGGGGGGGGCCTATCTCAGGACACGTCCATTATAGGGCCTCCTTCCTGTTAACGTATTTGAAGGCTCTGGAATCCCTTCCCCTCATAAGAGTACCACCTGAGGCTAGCCTCTGCCTTTCTTTGCCAGTATGGAAGTTGTGAGGGGTTTCTTTCTTATCTCCCTACTAAACAGTGAAATATTAATGACTTCCTGGGGCAGACCAGCTAAATGACTCCCAAAATTACTGTATACAGAAGGTGTTGGGTGCTTTCGCCTTCTGATTATGGTAGTTTTGGTTTTAAGAAAAAACAGTAATCCCATTTTATGCAGTGGACACTTTAACTTCATAATGGATGAGTTGAATATCATAGCTCTTTATTATGTGAAGGGTGTTGTGAGACAATGGTATTTGCATAGCCTGAATACCTAATAAAATTTATTCATTCAAAAATGTACTGAGATATTATTGAACTCTTTGAGATTAATCATGGGAATGGCAACGAAAGCTTACATTTTAAAGCAGTCTTATGAAAGACTTCCTTTTCCAATGTCACCTTGCCATTTTTACTGTAATAAAGTGCAGTAGTTTTAGAAATGACTGTTGTGAAATGCATGCTGTTTTAGAAAGTAAATTGAGTTGCTTGTCATTCAGCTGTATTATAAGTTTATTGGAGTTAATGGAGGGGGGGAACAAATAGACTGATAGGATGGTAAATTAATATTTAAGTTAGGATAATAAGTTAAATGTGACTTTGAATTTCCTGGCTTCTGTCAGTTTGTATCAGAATGCCGTTCCTTCTGCTAACATATATTTTCTTGTGCATGCTATGTCATTTAAATCAGGGGTTCTCAACTTTTTTATTTCTGAGACCCTCTTCCACCCCCCCATTCCCCAGCATGCTATAAAAACTCCACAGCCTTCCTGTTCCACAACAACTCTTTTTCTGCATATCCAGTAGATTAAAAGCCAGAGCTGGCATTAGGGGTAGCAAGCAGGGCAATTGCCTGGAGCCCCAGGCCACAGGGGGCCCGCAAAGCTAAGTTGTTCAAGCTTTGGCTTCAGCCCTAGGCAGGGGGGCTCAGGCTTCAGCCCCAGGCCCCAGTGAGTTGAACACCAGCCCTACTCTGTTTTATTTTGGCAGACCTCCCTGAAACCTGCTCCTGGTTGAGAACCACTGAGTTAGATGATATGCCTTACATATAGTATTGTCTTTAGCTCTTGTTAGCAAATGTTTTTGTTGCTTATGATATTATTTTAAAGGACATTACTATGAACTTGAACATTTATAATTTACTTTTTAAATATTTTTATATAAAGGCAGTGTCATATAAAAATTGAGCTGATTTGTGTAATAAACTTAAAATTTAACATCATGCTAATATGGTAGGCATACTTATTCTTCAGACACAGCATCATGAATCAAGAAAAGTTAGCCAAGCTTCAAGCTCAGGTCCGAATAGGCGGAAAGGTAAGAGGAAAACAACATTAAATTCATAGAGAGACCTGCCATATTTTATTTTCATTGTATATTTTAAGGGTCTGAAATAATACTGCTGTTATGATCAGGATCATAGCATGTTGGAGCCTGAAAAGTATCTTTCTTTAAATCCAAAACAATTGGTTGTCAATACATGGATATTTTATTTGGTGACTTCATCTTTTAAATATACATCAGTTTAACGCCTAAGTGTAGAAGGGTGTTTGTGTTTGTAGAAGCTTGTAGCATATAAACTTCATTCAATATGAAAAATACACTTGCCATATTTGTAAGATTTGCTTAAATTTAAGATATTGATTAATTATCTTTCTGGCAAAATGAACTTTGTGCCTTTCTTAAAATAACTTTTGGAAAATAAGGAAGAGAACATCTTGAGAGAGGGGGAAAAAGAAGGAAAATGTAAATGTTTCCTCTTACTGAGAACTTGCTGTAAAACACTTCGAGTTGTAAATAAGCCAGTGTGACTCTTGTATACTGAACCATTTGAAACCCTTTGAAATCTTTTATACTGAAACCCTTAAAAAACCCTAGAAACAAACTTGTCCAGGTAAAGCCTAACATACTAAAATTTTAAAAAGGGTAAACTGAAAAGAACTTCAGGTCATGGGACTTCTCTATACTCTTGGGAGAATGAGAGATGGAACATGCTGGGGTATAATGATTTTAAATTTGTGGAATAGTGTATCTTTTTGGAGAGAATTGTTCAGCTCTGTATCATTTACTGTGAACTTCAGAAAACTGGGCCAGGTTGTCAACCCAGACTTGATAATTATCAGAGCAGCTTTGACAATGTAAGTGCAGTACTCAGCAACTCCTTTTTGTTTAAATTAGTTAGTTGATATTATGGTACATGTGACTGCAATGTCAGATTTTCAGAGTTGCTGACTAATGTTTCTTGCATTGTCTGACTTTTTCAGGGTACAGCTCGCAGAAAGAAGAAGGTGGTGCACAGGACAGCGACAGCTGATGACAAAAAACTTCAGAGTTCACTCAAAAAATTGGCAGTAAATAATATTGCTGGAATTGAAGAGGTATAGTGGTATAATAAATTAATTGCCTTGTCTAAATCGTTCAGTTTAAAAATGACAGCTGGCTAGATGTTGAAATGCTAAGAAAAGTTGGGTCTGATTCTCATCTCACATGGTGTAACTCCCTGACTTCAGTGAAGTTACTCCTGATTTACATAATTGGTGTAAATGATAACGGAATTTGCAGCCTAATTACTTTAAGCTATTGGTATTGGAAACTGGCTGGTTGCCTGTGTTGCCTATACCTTTGAATGGCTGAAAAACAAAATCTACTCATGATTTTTTTTCTTAGTAAAATTGGTTTGTCTGAATTTGATTAGTTAAACTTTTCTGACTCTTAAATTAAAGTTACATGGTAAGCAAAACAGTGTGCCTCATGCTGTACAAAACGTAAAGGAGAAACATAATGTGGACCTCTTTCTAGATTGCAAGACTTGACTACTATTGTGTTACATGGAAACAAACAGAATTGATTAACAATCACATGGAGCAGATTTTTTTTTAAACATTTTCAAAGACACTAAATACTCGCGCTCTCTACATAGAAGTTATGATCCCAGTTAGCAGGATCTGGCCCAACTAGACAGTAATGGAACCTCTTCAATGTTTTTAGAATATCTTATTTAAAAATACAAATTTTACAGGAACGTCAAAGTTATTTTAACATTGACCTTCCTGAGAAAGTTGACCTTCCCATGTGCCATTGTGTACAAATGAAGAGAATGCTGAGATAATATGTAGAGAGAAGTGACCATAAATTAAATGTTATTGCAGTATTTGTCTGAAGAAACATAATACATGTGATTAATTTTAAATTTTGTATTGTGTATGTGGAGGCCTGCTCCTTCAAGAGTCCTAGTGCCTCCCATAGAGTGACTATGAATTATCCTAATTTTCTTTGACTGTTTGAGCACCGTTAGTGTGCTCTGTGCTGTACAAAACTCAAAGATAAACACAGTCCTTGCTTCCCTTTACCCAGAGCTTAAAATCTTAATGCACAGACAAAACTCTTCAGATACAAACTGTTCTGCGAAACTGAAGGGATGATATCTGGACACTGCTAGCTTCCATTTTAATGACTAGGCCCTCACTCCTGAAAGTTGTTCCACTTGGCCAGACCCACATTGACTTTAGAGGGCTCTATCTGTGCAGGACAGCTTGCAGGATTGAGGCGTGGGTGTGTAAGAGCACTTATCAATGAGGTGGGTTAAGAATGGTGAACTGTTTAAGTAAGAATGATCATCATGCACACTGAGATCTGAAACAAGTTCCAGGCGTAAAGGACATCATGCAACTTTGAGACTGTTGACTTATTGTGTAGGAACATTCCCTAGGCACTCAAATCTTCAGTATTTGTTTTTAATCTTAGTCTCTGCCTTTTCCCCATAACATCTCAGTTAAAAACAAATTGAATGGCTATAATAAAACAAAAAAACCACAATGTTATAAATATGCTGCAATTGACTATATTTACCAGGACTTTTTCTTTCCTTTCCTTATTTAAAATAAAGACATTTCCAAAACACTCTTATGTTACACTTATTCTTTCTCAGTTTCAGAAAAAAAATACCCTTCATGTTCTTTCCTTCTCCATCTAGTTTAAAACAAAACCCAGATATACTGTTCCTCTTTAGAGGCAGAAATGGACTAGTGGTCCATCTAGTCACAGTGGCTAATTCCAGATGATTTAGAAGCAAGTGGAAAATCTTCATCATACCTAAGGTCAAGGTCTCAACATGCAAAGGGACATCAGTGTGATTGTGTGGGCATAGAGGTCTGTGCCGGCAGAATTGGGGCTTAAAGATCCCGTGATGTGCATGGATGGATCCCTGCACTCTCATGGATTCCTTTTGACTGAAGTAGGACTTTGTGCAGGTGTAGGGGTCCATCTATGTGCATCGTATTGCAGTATTTGGGCCTATGTTTTCAAGTATTTACCATGGAAGTAGGAGACGCTCTTATTTTTCCCTCTGATCTCTTCCCAGATGGTAATTGGCTTATGCTCTGGAGCATGATGATTTATATAAATTGTCCTTGGCAGGTCACTTTTTAACCAAAACAATTAATTTAACTGTATGATAACACAATAGAACACAGTAATCCATTTGCTTGCTCACGTGCTTATCTGAATACTAGTTTCATAAAGGAACTTCAGCTCTCAAATTTTGCATTTCCATTCAATGTGCATGTCCTTCTGCTATAAACCTATATTCCATTTCCATACAGATTTGGCTAATTACGATCTTTTTTTATTCATTTTTTTTACTCTCTAAGAATTGTAGAAACTTTTCTAAATTCTCTAAATATAGGCTTGAATATTTAAAAATGTTAATATAAACAGTGTTGTTTTGCAGCATTTGTACAGACAAAACTATTAGAGTATATTAGTGAAATGCATGAAATGTACTAATTGTTCTGTATTTAAATAGGTGAATATGATAAAAGATGATGGAACAGTTATTCATTTCAACAACCCCAAGGTCCAAGCTTCCCTTTCCGCTAACACTTTTGCAATTACTGGTCATGCAGAGGCTAAACCGATCACAGAAATGCTCCCGGGAATCTTAAGCCAGCTTGGTGCTGACAGTTTAACAAGTCTCAGGAAGTTAGCTGAACAGTTCCCAAGACAAGGTGGGTGTCCCTAATTGGATCATCTTATTGAAGATTTTAAAAAAGTTGTATCGCCTTTTGGAAAAGGTTGGTGGTAAAATTTTCCAAAGTGCCAGTGTGATGTAGACCCTCTGGAAAACTTTATACTTGCCTAATACTTTGTGTTTTACTAATCCAGATAAATCACCAAAACTATTTTCACAGTAAACTTCACTTGTTCTTAATGAGAGATGACTTTCTCATGCAATACAGTTTTCTTCTATATTAATTATACTACTTTTCCTAACATCTTAACTAGCACAGAGTGTCTGAAACTAAGTACACCTCTACCCCGATATAACGCTGTCCTTGGGAGCCAAAAAATCTTACCGTGTTATAGGTGAAACCTCGTTATATCGAACTTGCTTTGATCCGCTGGAGCGCGCAGCCCCGCCCTCCTGGAGCGCTGCTTTACCACGTTATATCCAAATTCGTGTTGTATCGGGTCGCGTTATATCGGGGTAGAGGTGTATCACTGCATTAGACTTAATGCTTTCTACTTTATGATATGAGTAGGCACCTTAAATCCCCCTAAACTATAACATTATGATCATTAGCTTTCCATGTATTTTCTGTTTGGCTTGCTGATAGATGTTGGATTTTTATCAATTCCAAAAGCACTTTCTATTCTCATCAATATCACCATGATATAAACTGTTCTGCTCTTCACTTAATATTGCTATCCACTTAACAGTATTGTAGTAATGTAATGAAAGGCCTGTTTTCTGTCTGTTTCAAGACTCTGTTATGTAGGCCCAGCTATGTTGAAAAAAAGGCACATTTTTTCAGTTACAAGTTAGGCATGTTTGTCAGTTGTACTGTGTTTTAAAATACCTTGCAATATTGAGTATATGGTTTCATGACTTGATGAAGCATGTCTTCTATTTTCAGGAATATAGATTGAAATATAAAAAAGGTAGATTGATATAAATTATTATTTCTAAACTGAAACTTTTAACTCGATAGAAATTTCTGCAAGAGTTGAAGTAACTCTTATAGGCAGAATAAAAGGTTTGTGATGGCTATACAGATAAAATGCTGGTGCCATAAAATCTGTTGAGGAAGATGCATATTATAACAGTTGGAATAAACTAGTTAATTGATACTTTTAAACATCTTTGATAACACTACACTTTAATATTGAACACTTATTGTAGTGAGATGTTTACCTAAAATGCAGCTTTAAATACATAAAACTAACAGTAATTCAAGGTTCATCTGGATATAGGAGTCAGTTTCTTCTGTTAAGGAATTCATTTTGAAGTAATCATAGTGTTATATAAAATGTTTTCCCCCTCTAAATCCATAATGGGTGCAATCCTCACCACCTCTTCTCCCATTTTCCTTGAAAGAGCAGCCATACACTTTAAACTTATTCTCAAATCATTTAAAAAATTAAACTAAATTACGTTTTTCCTTTTTTTCATTGCACATATTTAATGTCCCAGTGTCTCATCACTTTGTAAAACCTTTAGAACTGTGATACACTGGTAACAGTTTAAAGGCTTTGTCTTACTGAAAGATATACAGTACTTGATGCAGTCTGTATTGTAGCATCACAGTGGACTACTGGAAGGGGTATGTGTGGCGGAGGGGGCAGGAACTGGTGTTTTGAATTTAACATTCTATTGGGGGGAATGCTCTTTGAATCCTGTCAATTTTGAACTTGCTTTACAATTGCTAGGCTATCTTTCCTCTTTCTTAGGAAAAAAAGGTGGAAATGGGGAGTCACTTTTTCAATAGTGTATATTTTTTCATCAGCTCTGATTAAAATATTGGAGGCTTAAGCTTTTAAGTAGTTAGTTTAACTTTGTGCACAATGCTATTGTCTGTATTGTTGTAAACTCCCATATTGGAGTTTATAGTTTTTCATTTCATGTTGTGTATTGATGAAACTAGAGTCCTTACTGCCACACTCATTCAAACAGAGAGAAATCCAATTCTTAATTTCAAAAAAATTTTATTTATACTTTTTAAAAATATTTTTGAACAAGCTCTAAAGGAAGCATAAAAATATATAGATGTAAAATGGAACTAGGTAATACCTACTACTTTTTTTAAGGTCCAACAAATTTACCCATCCCCAAGAGAACCAAGACAATTTAAATGTATATTTTAATTTTCTTATTTTCCCTGTTTTAGAAGAGCCAAGAGTTCAATTCAAGACAGAAACACCAAATAATTTCCTGTTACTAGTAGCCATAAAGAAAAAAAAAATCCAATTTGTCTAAATTTCAAATGGAGACATGAGCCCATTCTGATACATTAAAAATCCTTGCGACCAGTCCACTTTTAGTACACTTCTTAAGATGTTACAGAATTCCTGTGAGTAGCAGGAAGGAAAACTGGTAAGAAGGAATTGTTCTATTCTGTAGTTTTTCGCACTTTTGAGTAGATTTGACAGGTATGCTGTATGTTGAGGGCTCCAGTACTCTTAAAGCTGTAGTTTTATTTAAATAGAACTTACAGGGGAATGATAGGTTTCTTATGGACCCCTGAATGGGAATGCTGTACTTTTCAGAATGTTCTCGCCTTACAGTAGTAACCTCCAAGAGAAATCAGAAGATATCCACTTCCTGTTTTAACCTATAAGTTATGGCTTTTGTTTTGTGAGAGAGTAGTATTGTATAAATGGGACTAACTGTTGTGTTAAAACATATACTTAGTACAAAACTTTTTTATAGTGTTGGATAGCAAAGCAACAAAATCTGAAGACATTGATGAAGAAGATGATGATGTCCCCGGTAGGTTTACTAGCTCATTCTATTTCTTCAATTTGAGATTATTAGTTACCATTCTGATATATATTTAGATTTGTGCAGTTATATTTCTCTTGCATTTAGAGAGGCAGTTTGGTATAATGGACTGATCATGGAACTGAGATAAGGAACTCCTGAATTGCAGATTTCACACTAATTTATCGTGTGGCCTTGGGCAAATCACTTAACCTATCTGTGTCTTACCATCTGATTAGCTATTTAATATTTGTACAGTGGCTTCAGGATGCAAAATGCTATATGAATTTTAAGTAGTAATCATTGGATTATTTTTTCAGATCAGACTATTTAAATGCATGCTTATTTCTGTAATAGGAGATACTAAGCTCTACCTACTGTCAGGTTCTGAAAATTCTCTTAAAAATAAAATCTTAAACTGGGAACTTATAGCCACGTGCCATTGTTTTTAGCCTTGTTCTTTTGAGTAAATTCTTGGAAACTATTAATTTGTGTTTTTAACACAATGATCTTCTCTATTCATCAGTGTAGTTTATTATCTAAGGCAATAAAGAGATAGGAGACTGAAATTCGATCTCGAGTTGACATGCTCTGTGACCTTGAGGGGCTGTAGGTCTATTCTAAAGTTTCTACCCAACTTCACATCTAAATCCTAATTTTAAAAGGTGCTAAGCACTCACCAGTCCAAGTGAAGTCAGCAAGCGCGCCTCTGAAAATGAGATCTAGGCATCTTATGTTGAGCATCCAAAGTTAGTGGATGTTTTAGAAATTTAGATCTTAACCTTCCTGTGCCTCAAGTTCTTCATTTTTGCAAATGATACCCCTTTTGCAAAGTCCTTTGAAATCTCTAGGTGAAAAGCACTATGTAATCGTTAAGTATAATTAATAACTATTCGGTGTCTTAGGTCAAGTTACATAGTTTCTTTAAAAAATATGAAGACAGTGTTATTGGGGAAATGACTCTATTAAATATTTCCATCTCTTTCAGATCTCGTAGAAAACTTTGATGAAGCATCAAAGAATGAAGCGAATTAAATCATTAATAGTTCTGGAAGCTGGCATGGACTAGATTTAAGAAATCAGCTATGTGGTTCCAAAGTTTTACGGAAACAGAGAACATCACCTGTTAATAGTTCAGTAATATAAATATTTTGTATTTTAATTATGCTGTTTGTTCAGCATTTTCTGTCAGTTGATTTTGCATTTTGCACTTACTCCCAGGATCTACTTTTTCGGTCAAAAAATAAGAAATGTCAGTGCAGTTTGAGGGTGTGTGCATGTGCATATGTGTATGGTGTGGGTGTACATATAGTGGAGAACAAATTGGAGAACAGTTCTATTTAACCTTCCCTTTGCCCTCAGAAATAGAAGTAAAACAAATCTTTACAGTTGTTACTTTTTATTTCCACCAAATAGTGCACAGAAATTGGTGAAAAGTGAAAGTCTTACTTGTCCACATTTCATTAATTCAAGGCATTCTGCCATTAAGACTTGGGTTTAATTTGCTGTGTTAACTATTGTACTTGCCAATATGTATCTCTTCCATGTTGAAAATGTTCACATGCTATTTGCTATCAACCTCATGTTGATTCCAAATGATACCAAAGACAGGATATTTACAGCCTGTTTGGTATGGTAACATTTTAAAAAATCAGACCTAGAAGAGTTTGCTTATTTTTCTTTTTAAAATTCCTTTCTCTCTCGCTGTCTCCCTCTATTCCTCCTTTAACTTTAGCCAACTCTATCAGCCTTCATTTCGAGTCCCTTATTATAGAACTGATGTTTGTTCAACCCATTTCACATAGACTAAGCAGTATGTTCTCCTCTTGATTATGTGGGTGTACTTCCCAGGAATATTACTTGCTAATTTTAAGAGGAGATTAGTTCTCTCTACCCTCCAGAAGAGCTAGGTTGAGTCAGTTCTTGAACTTGGACATCCAGTTGGTAACAATTCGGTGCATTAGTTTTGCACAATAACATACTGTTGCTTAAAGGAGCTTGTTTGAGCTGTTCCAGTGCCATAACTGCAGCTACTAGGAGCTGACAAGGCACTGTCATTCTCCAGGGCACTAAAAATTAGGAGTGTCTTGCTAATGATATTTAATGTGAGAGAAAGAGGTCATTGATCATATTGCTGTAGCTTCCTGCTGGACAGTTTGTGCAATGACTCTGAAGGGATTTTTTTGGCCTATCTGACTTTGCCTATAACCTACCTCTAGGTTTGGTATCATGGCTATAGTAGCTTATTAAAAACCACAAACCTTCCGTAGGCATGCAGAGGACTTTGGAGGTATCACTGGTATACTGCAGTATTTTCTGAACCTTCCTTCAAAATGCTCAATGTGAATCCCTTTGTCAGAGGCTCTTTGAAGGTGCTTGATGTAACTTGCATTACAACATAGTTGGCATCACTGTTAACCTGTGTCAAGGGCAGCTGTGGCTTAGGAAAGCCATTTTTCTCTAAATCTATCATCTTAACTATAGCTTAATTCTGAGACATATCAGCTTTCTACGTAGGTTCGTACACTAGATAACAGTAAAATACAAGGCTATCAGTACACGAGAGTTCTAGTGACATCAACGTAAACTGCAGAAGCAGAGCTCTTGTGGTTTGTCATCTGGACTCAATTTATTTTATAGACTTGTTCAGTTTTCCTGTTATATTTTATATAATACATGGATCTTACTACAAAATAAAACAACAATACAAAAGAGGAAATGTTCCCTCTTGTGTGTCATTTCCTTCTCCCAGTAGTACCTGTTGAGGAACGTGTTGATGCAGCTGCTGCTTTAAATAGCATTACATTCATTGTCATGTTGCATTTGATAACTAACAGGAAAGCTTAATGGATTGGGATAGATCCTGCAATACTTTGAGAAAGCCCTTAGGATTCTCACCTTCTCCACCCCTTTTCCCATTCGGACTAGATGGGACTCCCTTCACTCTCATGGCTACTCCAACCTTCTGCAGATTGTTGCTCTTGGTTAATGAAAATCTCTTATTCTTTCACACACATACAAGCTGAGCAAACTGCCCTTCCAATGCCTCTTCTGGCCCAGTGAGCAAAGAAAGGAGACTGGGAAACAACCTTTCAGTTTTGCAGAGCACTTCCACTAGTTAAGTGGCATGAATGAAGAACATTTAAAAGTTGCAACTGCACTGACTTTACAGATATCCGGCATATTTTTTCACTACCAATCATTTAGTCATTGAAAATCCACATATTGTAGTATAAAGCATTGATTTCTGTAATAGCAAGTGTGGTTAAAAAATATTTGGAAGAGTAAAAACAGTAAGAATCTGGGGTAAAAATGATTTGGTAAGTTTGTAATCAGACTTACTGATTCATGCGCAAAAGAGAATCTTTTTGATTTTTGTTATTTGGTCATTGTAACCATCATTGCTTACCAATGTTTGGAAACCAGCAAACTATATGGGCTATGTAAACACATTATTTTTCTTTTTTTACTGTATCCAAAAACTGTTGACCACTTTTGATTTGCTGCTGAAATGCTAGAGCTTATAGAAATCCATTAAACTGATTTTAATTGAAAATAACCCACCAAGGCTCTTGTGGAAAATAGCTAGTGTTCCTTTATATATCGCTAGGAAGTGACTGGAACAACCTTTGTGCACACAGACAGGGGTATAGAAAATTGAGTGTGTGTAGTATAAAGGCGCCTAATTTTGAGATGTATGAATACTACATTAAAGGTGCCAGGTGTGTGGTTTTCTTTACACTATGGGATCCAGTGTATCCATTTGGAGCGCTGAGGATTTCCTATTTACAACTCATTTCAGTGATCCATTCTGAAGGATGACTACACGGGACTATTTAAGAACCCTGTCATTACTTCCCTTGAGCAAGACGTTGTTGAATTACCTGATGCCCCTTTTCTTTCCTTGCTTAGGCAGACTACAGCACCTGCTAATCTAGATTGCACAAGCCAATATGTTAACTTAGTTCTCTGCTGGGAGCGAGTTACATGGTTGTGGCGTCCAACTCTTGAGAAAACTCCTGTGCTCATGAATCTTCTGCTTCTGGATGAGAGTTTTGTTGTTGCAGTGAACATAGCTGTAAAAGGTCATGGGTGGGGAGGGAAAGTTGATCTTGAATTGAACTCTGTATTCATGGGATGCTAGGGCAGAGTTTGAAGCATTGGGTTATGTGCTCATGGTGACCTGAGATGCTCTGTAGATGGGCTGTTGTGGTTTATACCAGCTGAAGCAGTATCAGGGGTGTGGCTTTACTCCTAGATATAAAGTGAAATAATCAAGCTGGAGATTGTAAGTGGGTGTTTCACTGTTGCTAAGTCTGCCCAATAAGGTATGCAATCTTCTGGCCCGCCAAAGATGGAAGTGGCCAATTTTTCATTGCTGTGGCTGTTTGGTTGTCAAGTAGCATCTAAATGGATCTGAAGGCTACAAACTGATGTAAAAATCTGTGGGCAGATGCCCTTAGTTTTGGGGGATGTTAAAGAGGAGGCAAGTCCTTGACATCACTCTCCACTTCCCTCCAGCATCATTTCCATTTTGCCTCGGTTCAGCTTTATCCCACTGATCTCAGCTAGTCTTTAAGAAAACTGGGAGGTTGTGTTGTTTACTTTTTGACCTTTCCTAACACAAATGTCTGTCTACAAGGAAGATAGAGATGCTTCCTTCGCTATACTGGGTCTTGAAATAAAGCATCAAGTCATAAAATTACCAAGCTTCAATGAATATATTTCTGTAACAAAATATACAACAGAAGAAAGTTGGCCTCAAATTTTCTTTAAAAAACAATTGTAAATGTAGTTTATGCTGAAGGAGCTCTTGTTAGAACAAGTAATTTGGCTCTTGCCACACGTACTTTCCATTTGTAATTATAATTGTTCATTTGAATTAGCATAAAATACCATTTAGCTTTTCACAGGTTCTTTTTAGATATTGGAACCCCGTCAGTACCTGGCCCAAGCCGGGGAAGCTAATGATCCAACCAGTGGACCAAATTCGGTAATGAATCCTAGTCGCATCACAGTCGAATCCTGTGGCACATTGCGTGTAAGCATTTAAAAAAAAAAATCCCCACACATTTGCACGAGGCATAGCGTTTCACAGTATAAGCCATTTCAATGAGGGCAGTTATCAGCCATATAACAGATTTCATTGCTGTCCAAAATGTTACAAAAGGGTGGTTCTTCAATTATTTTTTTAACCAAAAAAACTCCCTGATGCTGTTGACCTTTGATCCCCACTGCCTTTAAAAGATTATATAGTTAATGTTGTTATGCTGTCCAAAATATTCCTCCTCTTTGAAATTAGACTCAATCTAATCATCTTAATTTTATTTTACTTTTAAACCATAAAAATTGAAATTCAGCTGACATTAAGATTCTGATTTTTAAAGCTGCAAAAACCAAAGAAATTCTGGTTTAAGGCTGAATCTGTATATTCAGGGGCTTAATTGTACTGTATAGGTAGGCAAAGTGTTCTTTCCAAAGTCTTGTCTCCTGCCTCAAGATTACCTTCAGGACACTTGAATGAGAAGAAAAGGGCATTAATATAAAATGAAGAATTGGAGATGGCAATCATCTTTGAAATAATCACCGAAGAACTGAATATTAAAATCAGGATGAACATGGAGAAGTTGCCAGGCCATGCAAAAAAAAAAAAAAATCACTACATATGTGATGGCATGTACAGCAATACACATAAAGGCCAAGTTACAGTCAGCAATGAGAAGAGGTGAATTTGGCATTCTTGTTTTGTGATGGTAACAATGATGCTTTTATCATGTATAGAATGAGGGAGTGAAAAAGATGTAAGTACCAACACTCTTAGCTGTACATTCAATTGATATAAAATAGGTAATCTTAAATATACAGTAATCACTGAAAACTTAATGAATGGGGATTGACAGATTCAAGGGAAGAGAAGTTCTAAACTGGATTCTTGTATCTTAGGATTTCATGTGCATAAATGTAAATGATAAATATTTAAAAAAAAACAAAAAACTGTTTTACTAACTATCTAAAATCCCCAAAAGACCTATCTTAGGTTTATACTCTGCTTTGTTGGCTATTGAGTCCTCTGGGAACATCCTGAGGATTGGACAAATAAAACATTGGAATTTCATCTGATTTACTACTGAAAACTTTTTGAGATACATTATTAGTTTGCTACCCCTGAATTTGTATGCAATGGAAAGGAGTGCACACAGTCAGCAATACGTACTATGTAATGTCTTGGATTTTCATAGCTAATCTACTCCGTATTCAGCCTATTTTTTACAGAATGAGTGAGAGCTTCTATCACAGGCTTATTTAATTACCAGTATCCTGAAATTTTTCCCATGGCATATAATACCAACCTTGATCTTGGTTTTTAATCCTAAGAGTCCAAACAATTACATGCTCTTCATTGTTTCGTACAAAAAGGTTACTGCACCTGGCCATTTCATACTATTTAATACTATAGATAATTGAGAGACTTCTGGTTCCAGATTGGTGAGTAACCCTTCTAGCAATTGCAATAATGTGTGCTTTAGGAGTGAACTTTTTAACTGGCTTATGCATATCTTACCAGCTGTAATACTCTATTATGGTAAATAAAACTATGCATTAGTGAGGTTTCAAAATCCTGACCAATAAAGAAACAGAAAAACTCCAATCACATGTGTGGTAATAGAATAGGCAGTGTTTGCTTGTGTTTAGAGCATGCGACTAGGACTTGGGAGATCTGGGTTTTGTTTCTAACTTTGCCACTTTTTGTACATCTTTGACCAATGTACTTAACCTCTCTTTGTTAGTTTCTAGAGCTGTAAAATGGGGATAATGTACATTTTCATAAATTACTTTGAAATCATCAGAGACATAAGTGGTAAGTATCGATACTGTTATTTTATTACCAAATATCTTTGAGCAAGTAAGGGAATTTTGAAACCTCACAATGTAGTCTGTGCTTTTGAAAAAAAGAAAAGTGGAATTTTGTCTGATAAATATTGTCAGCTAAATAAAGATTATCTTTTGGACAAAATCTACATGATCACTAATGACGACTGACATTATATATGTTGGGCAAACTAAATGCATAATACACCTGATTTCAAAGAAATACAGAATGCATATACTGCTGTAACTAAAAAATATAAAATATTTTAAATGCAATGAAAAATTGGAGTTGTATTTTGATTTTGTCACAATTGATTTTCAATTTTTCAATCTTAAGGTTATTACTTAGTTTTGTCTCCTGAGGATTCCTTCTTAATTGGTCCTATCTATTCGTAATATTCACTAGTTTTCCTGAAGGTTTGGTTTGTAAATCAGAACATAGAGCTTAGAATGACATTTACTGGCATTTTATAAAAACTTTTTTTTTTTTAAAATCCCTTGCTTTTGACATCTTTGTAAGTCTCTGCCATGCATTTTGAGAGGAATGTGGTCATCCCAAACTCATGATGACAAACTTTATTGCATTAGCTACATCAAATGCAACATGAATTATATGTCACTGAAAAATATGACTACAATTGAAGGACTATTTCACATGGTTTTCATCTTCTTTTGTAAGGTGCAGCAGTAACATTAACTACTTTAAAAGCATGCATTGGAAGCAATCAAAGTTCCATAGAACATTTTAAGTCCCCCTTCAACACAGCATATTCCTGGGCTCAATAACATATCTGATATTAAAGGGATACTACACTATATAGGAGATTAGAGTGTGACACGAAGATGATGTATTAAAATTAGAAAATAGACATGAGCCAAATCCATATGCTGTTTGTAACAATGGACTAAATTCATTCCTGATATATCACCAGTGCAGGAAGTCTGTTACACCAGAGGTGAATCACTGTAAGACCAATCTTCTAATTGGAGGAGGGTGGCTCTTGGTTCCTTTAGTCGTTGGGGAGCTCTGTCACCTTTGAAGGGCTAAGCGTAGGTGAAGCTGAAGTTCTCTATTACTGAAACTGGCTGGCTTCAGGCTGGCTCCCTTGTTATCATTTGAAGATAGTGCTCTTGTTTTGTCTTAAACAAGTAAACAGACAGATGGCTCTGAGGAGCAAGATTATACTAATTAAATAATCCTGCCTAACTAAATTCAAGGATGCAGAGCAGAAGCACATCATGACAATAGCCAGAACTAGTGATGACAACTGGCAGAAATAATTGCTGAAACAGAAAAACTCTTAAGTATGTGCAACTTTCCCTTTAAGTAATGTATTTTTTTCTCCTCAAACACCAGTTTGCAGAGACTGAAGTGCCTTGTGGATTTATAAAGAAATAGTGGGGCAGTACTGCCCATCAACAGTTGGATGGGCAAGGAGAGCAATCGAAGACAGATTCTTAAACAGGTCTTGCTGGTAGATCTGTGAGGGAATGTGGGCTACTGGTTAGAGCAGAGTACTGGGATACTGGATTCTATTTTTGACTGTGGCATCGATTGACTGTGTAAATTTGAGGGAAGTCTTGTAACCTCCATTGCCTTGGTTTTCCTTTTGTTTGTACAACTGGAGTTCCTACCTCCCTGTCTCACTTGGGTGTACTGCCGGGGTCAGTTAATATATAAATCACTAT